GCCTACTGCAGGGGGGGGGGGGGGGGGGGGCATCTGTGTGCCCCTTCAAAAAAGGGGGTACCCAGATGCAGATGAGCCCCCCTGCCCTCAGACCCCCATAACCACCAGGCTAGGGTTGTGGGAAAGAGGCCCTTGTCCTTATTAGCATGAGGACAATGTGCTTTTCCAGAGGCTCCCCCCCTGGAAAAGCACCCTCCCAATGCCGAGGGCATGTGGCCTGGAATAGTGCAGGGAGGGGGGGGCTCAACATCTCCTGCCCTGCCAGGCCACTGCTTGGATTAAGGTGCTGGTATGGAATTTTAGAGGTGACCCGTTTTTTTTGGAATTGGGGTCCTTTAAAGTTTGTTAGGATCTGGTAAAAAATTTATAGGGCAACCCCACCCTTTTTTTGACATCAGTGGTCCCCCCTAACATTCCTACCAGACCCCGCACTAGTTTTTTTTTTAACATTCACATTTTTCATTCTGATCGCTACCTCTGAGGTAGCGAACAGAATGACCGAACCGGATACCGAGCCGAACGTTCGGCAATTTACTCTCTGCCGTCTGGCCCCTTTGAGGGTAGGCGTGAACAGCAGGGAATGAAGTGCCAAATGTTCGTCTCAGCCGATAAAAATGTTACATTGGTTGAGGCGCACAGGCTTTTCCCTTTGGTTCGGCCAAACGCGCTGAGGCTGTTCGGCTGAGCCAAAGGGAGGTGAAGTGAGCCCAATGCAGCCAATGAACAGCTAAAAATAGCCGTGCACGGCCGCAGTGAGTAGCCGAACATGCTTAGGCTCACTTCACTTCAGCTCGTTTATTCATTCGTCTGCTTTCGGCAGCTTAGTGAATAACTCCCTATAGTATAGTTAATGAAAGTAAGGGCAGGACCTTTCATCTTCTGTATAAAAAAAACCTTATACAATATTTGCCAATTTGTCCAAATCCAGGGACAATGAATCCTGAAGAAGATTATTGAGGAAAATTCAGGTGGGAGAAGAAGGACCACCGATGAGATGGATTAAAGATGTAAAAGAGGACCAAAGAGAGCTGGAGGTCAATAGATGGAGAGTAAAAGTAATGTTTAGATAGGAATGGGCTGAGACCAGGGCCATTAAGAACTGTAGAGCATAAAATATAAAACACAGGTCACTATTAAATTGCATGTTTTATTGTAGAACAGAAAATGTAAACACACAGATCATTATCAAAATGCATGTTTTATTGTAAAGCAGAAAATGTAAATCCCAGGTCACTATTAATCTGCGATGTTGGGTGACAATAAATTAATAATGTGGAAATATTACCATACATTGAGAGATATATAAATATTGTTGTCAGTAAACATATACTTTAAAAAATCAAGGTAACCGGCTCCTTGTGAACCAGGTATAGTATTTGCATATAAATTATATCAATAAGGAAACTCTTCAGGAACAAAGACAGGTTTCTTGTGTCACAGAACAAGTTATGTGATAAAAGACATCTCTTCCCGGTCTCTGCTCTCTGACAATGAGCTGGCTACACCTCGGAGATATTTAACAAATTCCATTCTCACATCCTCAGGATCTTCTTCTAGATTGGAATGTACCAGTGCTAATTTACCTAATGCTGGAGCTATAAATCAAACACAAGGACATATACATAAAATATACTGCTTTGATCATCTATCAACAGATGCAAATATAAAACAAAAAATGTTTTCCAAGTCTAAAAAAAAAAAAGTATGAATTGCATCATATGGTAATTCAGTAATAAAGCAGAAAATAAACAGACAGCTATGATGGGACTTCTTAATAAATCTATCTAGGGATGCACCGATACTAGTATCGGTATCGGTGCCGATACCGAGTTTTTAGCCGAGTACTCGTACTCGCCCAAATGCTCCGATACCTAGCACGAGTACTTCCTGTATCACGAAGCCGGGCAGCGTGTCATTACACGCTGCCTGGTTTCCTGATTGGCCAGGAAACGCCTCCATGCTCTCTCATCACTTGTGATGAGAGAGCATGGAGCCAACTTCCCGGCCAATCAGGAAGCCGGGTAGCGCGCAATGACGCGCTGCCCGGCTTCCCGATTGGTCAGGAAGCTAGCAAATCCAGAAGCGGGCGCCGTGTAATGCCGCAGCGCCCGGCATTCTGACTGGCCGAGAAGCCAGCTTCATTCTCCCTCGTCATCTCATAAATCATAATATTAAGAAAGTGAACTCAAAGCATTAGTTTGTATTGCTTTAGAAAAAATGTGACCTGTCCCTTTAAGAAAAATTATCGGTAATTGGTATCTGCGAGTACTTGATCAAAAGTATCGGTACTCGTACTCGGTCTTAAAAAAGTGGTATTGGTGCATCCCTAAATCTATCTTTGGTAGCTACTATATACACTGAGTGGCCAGATTATTATGACCACCCCATCAGTACTTCGTTGGGCCACGAGATGACTCCACGAGATGTTGAAAGGCGATGCGAGGAATCTGACACTGCACTGTTGCCCTTCTGTTGTCTTGTACCAGTCTTGCCACTCTCCGATCTGCCACTCTCCTAACATTGACTAGTACCTGATGGCCACAATTCGTACGTTCAGACCCAGATTTTCGGCTGACAGTCCAGTCTTTAAACACTTTAACAACAGCTGCTCTTAAACATTTAACTCATTCTGCTGTTTTGCTGATACTCGCTCCACGGCTCTGAGCGCCAACAATCATCCCACGTTCAAAGGCTGTTAAATCGCATTGTTTACCCATATCTTCAGAAAAAAATTACTTCTACTGTCGTGGTAAACAACCTGCTTCCCTATTTATACTGGTCTGGCCCTCTAGCAACTTCAGCGCGAAATTATAGCTAATTATAGCTAATTTGCCTACAAACGTCAGGTGGTCATAATAATCTGGCCACTCAGTGTATATGTGTGTGCTGACAGAACACTTGTCATGCGGGAGGGAGGGGTTGTAGGGGCAGCAGAGGACAACGGATGCTGTCAACAGCTGTGTTTGGCATCCCACCCAGCTCACTGGTTGTTTGGAGCTCACCAGGACACAAGTTACAGCGTCCCGCTCAGCTCTTGATAACTGGTGACCTCAGTGACACCTGACACAACCTTTCCAAATAGCAGCTTCACTGCCTGTAAAACTCTGCCACTTCACAGGAGAAATGCTTGTGACAAATTCATATACACCTTACCAACACGAATGTGGATCTGTCGCAATGAAGTCAGGGGGGACTCTGTGAGGCCTTTGCCTCCCTCTGCCTCACACTCTCAGGCATTTAGTGGTAACTAATAGATAAAAAGCCTTGTTGCACATGAAGATGTTGATTAGCAGTTAGTGCTGCCATTGCTCCATATTCTGCTGGTACAGATTACTATGGAAATTAAAGCAAAACCGAAAGAGTAGTAACCTAAAAGATGGCACCTTATTGCCCCTTTCTAAAGCAGTACATACTCATCTTTCTTTCACTCCCTGCTGCAATGTTTAGCTACTGGGAGCGAAGAAGCTGTTCAGTATGGGGGAGCATCTAACTCACCTCCCCATCTTTTCAGTGACAGAGCTGTAGCTTACACTGACACAATGGAGAGGGGAAACAGTCTTCAGCCCTGTAAAAGCTCCTACCAGTGTAGGGGTGGACAAACTTTGGCCCTTCAGTTGTGGTAAAACTACACATGCATCTGTCTCTGGGAGTCATGTCTGTGGCTGTGAGACTCTTGCAATACTTTATGTCATTTGTAGTTCCACAACAGCTGGAGGGCTGGAATTTGCCTATCAATGAACTAGAGTGACTTGGTTTACAAATGGTCTCCTCTACACTGCCAAAAGCTGTATGGAGTGTCAAGGAGTAAAAAGTATATGCTGCATTGAAATGAATCTATTATTTTTCCTCTTATGGGAAAAGCACGGGTTGACTTTGACCCATGGAACAAATGCACATCCCAATGTTTAGACTTTAAACAATTTCCTACACATACGATCTTATCCACAAGATAACAATGCTGCTGTCCAAGGGTGACTCTGCTGCTCCTCTAAAAAGCGGAGTCACCCTAAGACAGGAAGGGTGTTACTGGTCGGATTACCAGGTGAAAATAAAAAGGAAAAAAAAGCCTGAGAAAAGAAAATGAATGCAGCAATAACATTTAAGAACTGGAAAGTTGCAATATATTACATTATGGTTTTTGGGTTTAGATACGCTTTACACTGAACTCAAATAACAATATTCATGAATTCTTGAAAGATCCACTTCAACTTCTGGTACATTACTCTAAAAAAAGCAGCAACAAATTGAAAGCTGATATCATATGCTCTACACATGCTTATATAGGCTATTTCTGTTTTATGTAAGCGCATTTTTATACAAAAGACTCACACAGAACAAATACAAATAGTAATATGCCGTGTAATCCTTGTGGAACATTGACTTTGCATTGCTATCTTGAAATGCTATTTGAGAGTCGCAGACCATGGAAAGCTGAAGTGTATACACAAACTGATATTCTACTGCCATCTAGTGTCATCAGACAGAAGCTGCAGTTAGGATTCACACACAGAGCCCTCTGTATCTGTTTTGTTTTTTACTTAAGTTCAGTCATTTCCCCACATACACCCGAGGAACTTTTAGGGCAAGTTGATAAATACATGCTCATAAATCAAACCCATAGTGAGAAATCATGCAGCAGTGTTATTGCCACTTTGTGATTATGTGGTAGATTGAAAAAGTGCATCTAGTCCAGATGCTTTGTGTATGTGACATCATGCTCAGTCAATAAAGGCGATTGACTGCTATCTACAAACGGAGTGCGAGTGACTTTATGGTATTTTGCATTTTTAGTCCAGATGCATGACTCCATGACTCCCACCTTAAAGTGACACTAAACTCGGGAGTTAAATCTTAAAAATGCATTCAAGTACCCTAACTATTATCAAAAATGTATCTTATTTGTGTGTCACTCGGCTGTAAATCCTCAAATCATCCCTGAATTGGTGCTGACACTGTCCTTCCTTCTCCCAAAACTGCTGGCTGAGCTTTCTTCGCCATGGATTTGACTGTACAAGGTGTATTTCTTGGATGACCTTTAGAGATTACACCAGGAGAAGGGTGTCAATAGTCAGCTGCTTTCCATAGGAAAAAGCATGCTTGTACAGTGCTCGCTGGAACATTTACAATCTGACTACTGCAGACAGAAAAGGTTGGGCAACAATCTGGCAGCTCGATAGTTAAAGGCTCAGTGTGCTGTTATGACCATGTTTTATGTTTCACTCATATTCACAAAATAAGATGAAACATGGTCAGATCGCAAACCCCCCCCCCTCCCCCCACTTACCTGAATCGCGTGGTTCTTCTCCCTGCAGGTTCTAGTCATCATTTGAATTCAGCATGGCTGCGCATGGCTCTTCCCACACAGCTGCTTCAAGTATACACAGATTATTTGACAGGATCTGTAAATGGAGAGCCTACAGGTCTCCTCTGCCACTGCAGCAGAGGGACTTTCTAGTTTTAAATAAAGTACAAGTGCGTGACGTCTACACACTTATAGTCCATTCATACTGACCCTTAGCTAAAGGTCTGTACCTGTATAGACAGAGACTTGGAGGAAGAGTCTGTAAGAGCCAGGTCATTGCACTCACTCACTACTGATCGTGGTTGCAATGCTTTGCGGGCTCAAATGCAAAACATAATACATTTTATTTTATTAATGTGT